CGATACTTTAGGTAGATAAATAGATAAAGACGCTTATTCATGGGCAAGCCCTCTGAGATTATAAAAATGGCAAGTAAAAAGAAAATGAAAATACATAGTAATAACATCTACGAAATAAAAAAAAGAAATACAAAGATACGAATAAAAAATAAAAAGAGAAAAAGAATGATAGGTATATTTCAGACTATACCTCACTTTTTCTAAACCGACAGTAACGACTTTATAGGAATGCATGGTTTAATCTTATTACGTCTATGTTAATTTAGAAGTTATTTCAAGTGAAAGAATTAAGGTTTTTAATTACTATGTGTTAAAAAATGTAAATTCATAATCTGTAAAGACAGTTCCTGACTGTGTCATGTAATGTCAACTTAAATCTCCGAATCCGTAGAGTAAAATTCCCAAGATGCGTTTTCTCCTTTTGGTGCCCTTCTCTAAACCGGCCTACGATTAACGCTTGCAATTTACGCGCGGAAGCCGCCTCGCTGCCTCGCCGTGCGACGCGACGTGCACTCGAAATGATTTATACGCGTTCCGTCTTTGTACGTGACGCGTCGTTTACCACCCGCTCTCCGGCGAAGATTAATTAACCCCGTGGCGTTTCGGGGAGAAACGTGTTCCGCCTTGAGCGCTTTTCGCGAGGCTGGCGCGGGGATCGGGGCCGTCGGCTTCGGTTTCTTAATCCAATTTCGTGGTGCATTAATCTAATTATGCCTAGGCATATGCACGTGACGTGCAATTATGCCGGCCGGTCGCACCGCTGGACCGCTTTCGTAATGTTACGGCGCGGCGCCCGGACGTCGGTCGGAGGAGCTGTCGGGTCGGCAAGAAACTCGTCCGCGCGCAGAGTGCCCCAGAACTGTCGGAGAGATGATGCCTTAAAGATAGAATCTTCTCTTGCAATTTGAAGTTAATTTATGTCTTAGGGAAAAAATCCGTGCCACGAGTGAAGAGAAATAAGGGCTTCCTCATGAATTCGTTCTCAGAAACGGAAATGAACATAGGTTGAGAGATTTGTTTTTCTTTTTCGATGAATAGAGCGCTTGATGAAATAATTTGCTTGAACTAAATTTCAATGCTTAATTATACCTACTTATAGAACGCTGATGTTCTAAAAAATTAAATCATAAGCATTTTTCTTTTTGGATATCTTTTTTATGATCTTTATTTGACATCTGTGAGGATTTCAAGAAACACAGATTATAATAAAGCTATTCAACAATAAAAATAAACTAAATGTAGTATAATATTTATACTATAGGAAGAATAAATTATGCCTTAGTAAGAATTCGAGATTTCTCTGAAAAGGTATGAAAGTATATCGCTTGTAAGTATCTATTGAAAGCATTATCGCGATATGAGATGAGAGCGTTAGATTCAATGATTCGCCAGCAAAACTTTCGCTTCGGCCCAATAGTGGGTACTAAGTTTCACATTAATTACATCATCGTTTTGCTGATCTCGTAATAGGAACCGCTTGCATTCAGATGTAACCGCGGAAGTTCACGCGCACGTTCACGCCAAGAAAGTATTTCAATAGAAAGAAAGAGAAGCGAGGGGTGAACGCGAAGTAGTATGTCGAATAACTTCCTAGAGGCGCGCCTGTCACGAAGCCCCGGGTCATTGGTCACCTCGTTCTTATCTCGCACTGTCTGCGGCCCATCTTGAAGGAGCTTATGCGCAGCGCCGTTGCACGGTTTACCGTAAACAAAATTAATCCATCTACCGCTTTCGTGATTATAGAAGCCGGTTTGCACGGGGAAAAATAGTAAATTTATCCTTCGAAAAAAATATTGGTCAATCTTATCTCATTATTAGTTATTAAACGGGATTTAAACGTAGTGACTGCGACATTATGTTCGCAATTATTTTACGTGATCTATAGATATAATTATGATAAGAAACTTTAAACTTGAAATTCTTTTGTTAATTGCATTACCATTACCACAACTGGTTCATAACGATCACACGTATCCATGATTTTTTTTATCAGTTAAGTGTTATACAAAATTAATTCCCACAATTAAAAGATAGTACGACCACAGAGAGAGAGGGGCATAACTTTTTCATAAAAAAATTTAGTATTTTTAATTCTATTTGTATATATAACATTATGAATTAATTTATTTTTGTATAACAGACTTAATGATAAAGAAAAAAAATGTTAATAATAGATAGAATCTGTTATTCAGGATTCTGGCTACGGCGTGTTGGAATTTTCACGTTGATGTTGAAGCGATTAGTTCACAAAATCGTTTAATCCAGACCACCGAGTTGATGCTTGCCAGGCGTCGAGTCACGATCGTTACTTTCTTTCAACGAGATTCTCTTTGGAGAAATCCGAAACAATCGTCGACACGCCCATCCCACGTACATCTATGCATGCGCTTCGTTAGGTAACGGCCAGGCTACAATGTTTCGTCGGGCGCATATAGATATTGTCTTAATGTAATGTAATAACCGTGAGCTATCGCAGTCATGAATTACTCCAAGAAAGTCTCGTCAAAGTTAGCACAATTATCTCGAATCATGCAGCCGTTTATCAAAACTAAAAGTATTTTAGCAAGCTTTTATTAAGATTTTCTTACGATCTTTTATTGTAATTTAATAACTTTTTTTTGCCAAAGTATGATATTGTACACGGAAAGAACTGTTTCGCTGAAATATTTGAAAATTTAACTAAATATAGATTTGAAAACATATTTTGTTAAACTATGAAAATAATTATGTATGACATTCAAACTGATTGCTAGAATATCAAAAATTGTTTTGCAACATTGCTTATAAAATATTTTTATTAAAATTGACAAAATTCTTTCCATTTATACAATTTGATAAAAAAATCTATGTGTAGGATACACGTTTCCGGTTTTCTATATTTCACATACTACTTTATTTGCTTCAATCTATATACTTCATCTGTTTCCTACATTTCACATCTGTTTCAATCTTCTAAATGCAATGTAGTATTATTCGGTCTGCTGTACTGCAAATTACTACAAAGCCATCGTATAGGTACATATATAAAAGGCGTATAAAGCTCTTACATTATTTTATGGATCATTGTGGTAATAGAAATTCTCAAGGCGATCACTTTTTGTCACCGTCCACTGACATTTCCGTGTTGATCTAAGCAAGCGTGAAGCCGCTTATTTGTGATACCGGGGATTGCAATGCGACGATCAGAATCATGACCGTTATTTTCCTCGGATGAGATTCTCTTTGGCGAGACAATCATAGGCACACCCATCCAGCAAGCGCATCATGTCTATTTTGTTTAATAGATAACTTACAACAAAGTTCCGGGCTATATGGACATCGCGTCGTGTTGCTCCATAAATATCTAGTATCCTGTTATTACTGCCAATTGCATTCTTACTCAATCCATTCTTTCCACTACTCGCAAAACGAGGTCGCGATTTTTTGTCTTAATCGAAATATATGTTTCACGAACTACCTTCGACTTATTTTCTTCTGTTTGAATCATTACAATTTGATTACGTTACAACTGATGTTTTGTTCACACAAGAAATATTATTTTTTATACCCTTATCTTTACCGTTAAATTTATGATGTCAAATTATATCCATTTTCTAATGTTTTTATATATATCGGTTTTTATATATATTACTCTTATTCAATATGTTGTCAATTTAACTGAAACAATATGGAGTTAAACAATTCAACTCAATAACATGTATTAGATAAACTTGACTTAAATTAACCTGTGTGAAGCTGGCCCCTCAATATTAAAAAATCGATTTTTTTTCTTTATGCATTCGTTTGCTCATCGTTTGCTCACGAATGCTCAGTTGGAATTTTCGTTTGCTCACCCTTAATTCAAAAGATATACGAAAATTATGTTTTGGGGGGCCAACTTCACATGGGTCTTAAATTAGTGTATATTATTTAGGTGCATATAGACGTTATGTACTTTGAAATGAAGCAACTCAACCATAGAGATAAACAAAATGTTATTTAATTCAAAAGATTGGGTTATTCATTGCTTTTCAAATATCTAACAATGTTGATATACGCGGTTTATTTTGCTTCTCATAAAGTTTTCTCATGATCGTTCTGCATCTTTTCCGCGAATGATGATCTTCATAGAGGGCAACGACGATGCAAAGGCAGTGCCCGCGGTACTGATTACCTGCCATTCGTAGTTTCGAGTGGTGACTGCCCTTGCTACGGAAATTATGAAACCGGTCCATAATTGGAACTTGACTAATGACAAGATGGGTCATTGCGTATATTATAGCCATGGATCGGCATTAGCTCTCGCGCGGGCGCAGGACGCTTCACGGAACTGCAATAGTACGCAACTGAGCTCCACGTGGGAAAGGATGCATTAAAAGTGCATCAAACGGGTGGGGAAATGGCGAGCGGTGCCGAAAGGCAGGCATTCGTCTGTCGAAATTAACATGGTAAAGGCGGGTACCTTTCATATTTTCGCAACAGAGATTAGTTATACGAGCTCTACTAACAGAAGCTTGGGGATTAATTATCATTATCATCTATATTATTATGGATGAGCAAGTAGAGTAGATAGAACTAAATTATATACATACTCTGCGTTTTATAATCTATGTTAAGAGAGCCTGTAACGCGTAGATTTCCCTATGATATTCTATGAAACGCATTTTTAATTTCAATATTTGAATCCACAGAAGAAAATATCTTTGAAGGTTATCAGCAAATTAGGATTAGAGATTAAATTGCAATATTTTCCAAGAATCGTGCCTGCTTCGCATACGCATGCGTCTTCATTATCATACACACCCAAACAAGTACGTCACGCAAAGTAGGTATTTAAAGCGTATGATCGTTCTCTTGCTTGCAGATGGAGCATAGAGGCGCGCCACGCGGGCAGCAGGAGCAGCAGTAGCGTTCAGCTATCCTTGGGGGCCTGATCGTCGGGCCCTGTCTCTCGGGCCCGATCTCGCGCGGGGGGACGCGGGATCGCGGAGGCGCCGCGCCGTGCCGGCCGAGCGACCGCGATGGCCGCGACCGACGGTCAGATCGTCGTCGCGGCGGCACGCTGGGCCGAGGAGGCGACGTATCTGCGTGAGTTCGTTTCCAAGTACCGTCTACCAGCCGTGATCAAGATCACGAAGGGCCAGTATGGCGGGCTGGGCGTGCCGACGCTACCGGCACCCAGCTTGCAGAGCACCGCGCTGCTGATATCGGCCGGCCGTCGGCGTAAAATCGTGGCGCAGGCGGTGAAGATCAAGGAGGGCCGCCGGGTGGTCGGTGTGGGGCCCAGACTGGCGATACCGGACTCGTACGCGGGCTACTTCGAGATCCTGAGCGAGGAAGGCCGAGCGGTGCGCGGCATCGAATCGGTGAGCGAGTTATCGCGAAGATGTCCGGAGGAAGGTGCTCTAGTGCGCGAGACCGTGCGCGGTATCGCCTGTCGGGTGGACGACGAGTCAGGTATCGTAGTACCGGAGGGTACGAGGACCCTCGCGGCTGGCGAGACGATCGTTACCGCCGGTGAAGTGGCGTTACCCGGTCGCGGCCGGTTTCTACGCTGCGTAGATTGTCACGGCGACAGCGTTTTGCTCGGAATGGATCAACGTGGACGTTTCAGCGCTCTGGCTCGCGAGGATAACATCAGCGGTGTGCACACCGCTAAGGCACTTCTCAGCAAACGTCTGCCACTCACCGTGAGACTGGTACACGGTCAACCGCCGCGAGGACTCAAGTCGTCGTCACAATTTGTGCCCGAGTTGAGGCTGCTGTCGACTTTCGAGGAGGAGCACGTGTTCGCGTTGCCGCTACAGAGGGAAGGTGCGGCGGTTGCGCTGCCGCTCGCGGCGCCGCTCAAGCTGGTGAAGGCGCGAAACGAGGAGGCACTCAGGTCGATGCAGGAGTTCACGAGGTTGGTGGAGCGCGCATCTCGTCTTGTTGCCGACGTGGCTGATCGAGCGCACGTGTTGGACGGTCGTCTGGGCGAGAGCAAGCCCTCCAGGCAAACGAGGAGTGGCTCAGGCTTCCTCAGAAGACCATCGACAAACTCGGATCACACACCGTTGAGCCACCATAGGAACAGCAGTGCTAGCCACCACCATCATCATCATCACTATCACAGCAACGGGCATCAACCGTCCTCCGGACACTCTGGGTATCGGGATGAGAACAGGGTACCGCCATCATCAGCTTGTACGGAAGAGTACGACGAAATCGATCAAATATACGACTACGTGCGCGGCTTTGCGCCGTTGCCGAAGAGCGTCAGGTCGCCCTACGAGAGTCCTCTCGCTACGGGCCAGGGGGGTTCGACTCCACCACTGACGCCGGTAACGGTGACGATCACACCCTTACTGGATGATCGACCGGAACCACCACCGATTGAGACGATACCGACGAAGAAGATCCAGGCGGAGAAGCGGACTAGACGTGCGGTCAAGGAAGCGCCGCAGCCGCGGGTGGAGAAGCCGCCGCTGGCGAAGCTCTACGTGAAGAACAGCGGCACTCAACGCGGACGACCGTTAATGAGGCAGAAGAGCGCATCGCCCTTGAAGGAAACGCCGCCGGGTTACAAGGGTGGTTCGCCACTTTTCAACATACGTTACAAGAGTCTGACGAATCTCCAACAGGCCATGGAGCTCGACGGCACGCTGGATTCCAGTCATTCGGGCGGAAGGACGTCGGGAGATTCCGGAGCGGGTGCCAAGCTGCCAGAGAAAAGGTATGCTTTTACCGATGTTAAGAAATGGTAAAAACATATGATATATATTTGTTAAATAATATATATGTTACATTTATATCAATTTGTAAAAGTGATTTTTAATAGATATAAAGATTTTTACTTCTGTGATTATTAGATACTTATTTTCCATTCTTTTATTAAATAAAGGGCGTAATTGAATGAATAATTTACTTTCCTTAGAGTTATTATCGTACTTTTACCATAATTTTAAGTTGTTACGGCATTATTTAAAAAATTAAATGAAGCTTTTTGATTATTATCACATTTTGGATTATTAAATGCACATATAAAATTACATATTTCCCATTTTTAAATATCTATATTTTCTTAAAATGTCTATCTTTTTAAATGTATATGTATTTGACTTTACCATGCATATTTTCTAAAATCTTTGGAGTGGAATCTCAGAGTGGTTTAATTTTCAATCTTTAAGAATAAGAGTTCATTCTTTAGAGTGTAATAACGCACTCTAAAAGTTTTAGAGAGCAATTTCAATTTATATTAGCCGAAATAGGATAATATTCCAATAACGTTTACGATAAGTTTTTATTTTATTTTCTCGATATTTTATAAAATCCAGATCGAGACGTTTAAGCAGGCCACGATCGCTGACGAATTTAGTCTGGGAGCTACGAGGTGGAAGCGGCCTCGGCTGCACGAGACCTGAGACTCCGCCACCCGCTACGACTGCACCGCTGCTACCGACTAAATGTGGGCCTCGTCTGGCTGTCACTGTCGTGGCACCGCGACGTGTCGGCACGCTCTACCTCTAACTCGTAAGCAGCAATTTTTTAAAGCCTTTTTAAACACATTGTTAATTTTTCAAATAATAAATTTCGCGAGGGAATGTTTCGTAAATATATTTCTGGAATAATAGCAAATTTTTTTTTAGCAAGATAAGAGAGAAAGAAATTTACGAAATTGAAATTGCGAATATGCTTTTGTGAAAAAGTACATTGCACGATTAGAGATCAGTTTCCGCTTTTGGAGAAAAATTGTGACCAGTTCTTCTCTCGAATTGAAACATTGCGTGCACGGTTATTTTCTGTACGTTCTTTATACGGACAATCTTCGTTTCCCGTATATCAGATGATATGCCGAGCGAGCGGTAAGACTATTTGTTGAACGGACATGCACGTCGCAATTAGCTATATTGAGGGAACACCGGTTACGATGTAGTTATAATGTACTTTGTCCGGGAAGGAGGACTGAATCGTTAAATTCGTGGGATCGACCCAGGATAGATCTTTTAACGGGGCATTTTACTGGGCGTTATAAAAGACACACAGTTTTCCGCTTCCCTATTGCTGTACCTCATTCATTTAATCGTTCCCCCTCTCCGTCTCTGGCATCCGTCATAACGATGTCTAGAAAATGCACCTGTCCACATAGGCGATGCAGGAAGTTCCGCGATTACTGCCAATTATCCACGGAGAAATCCATTCTTAGACGTAATCGATTTGAATGCGATGGAATACGAAGAGCCTCGCAAACGTATTCGAATTGGAGTACTCATTATGATTAATAACGTTATAATTGTTTCTCTTGCCTATATGCTTCGTTAGAATGTCGAATTATTAATCAATATAAAAATCATATTTATTAAATTAGCATCTATATGTCTTATCATTCAAAGATTTCAGCACGTCGTATGTTTTTGCTAACAATTTCATTTTTTATATGTAAAATATGGAATTATGATACAAAATATTCCTTGTATTTTTGATCACGTAAAATATGCAATAAAATCGCAAATTGTCAAAAAATAAAAATGAAAATTATAAGTATATTTTTTTGCACTAGACACTAAACATTGAAATATTATGACGACTAATAATAAGAGAATAGTACATAAATAATATTCTGTAAAAATTAAATACAAGTTTTTGATTAAAATATCTGAAAAATTTATCAAAAAAATGCCAAGTGTTTCACTTTTGTTATTGAAATTGAAGAAGAAAGCTTAGACTTTGAATTTCAATAAAAAAAAACATCTAGTAATAAATTAAAAAATTTAATACGTGCAAATTGTATTCATACTTTATTCTTTATATTACGAAATTTCCATAAATAGAGAATGTGCTGAAACTTTTGAACGGTAGAGGACGTATATACCTATCAGGATTTAGCTAAAAAATTAAATACGTGATCTTTTTTCTGTCTCTTTTAAATAATTTTCTAATTTTAATTCTGAACTTCATTTATGGCTGAAAGTAATGCTAGCAAAGTTTTAACATGTAAATTGTCCATTCGACGGCGCGTTATAACAGATTCTTATGTCGTAAACGGGTATCGTCAAGCCGGTTAATATACGGTACCGACAGTATTGCACACGAGCGAAGAGTGAGACGCAGCGAGAAGATAATATCCACGGACGGTCGGCTCGCTCGTTTCTCCGTCCGTTAATCCGCCGATGAGAATCGACAGCGACAGCGAGAGATTGAAAACGTTTCCTCATCACGGACCCGGTTTTGCACGTATGCCGGGCGACGAGACGTTTACGGGAGGAAGTCGGGAATCACAAAGCTTCCTGCCGTACACATCCGCAATCCAGCGCGCAGGTACCGGTTGGTATTCCCAAGCTGTGGAAATTAGCGAGGTCCGCACGGGTTAATCTGCTGCAGTCTAACTTCTCTCTCTCTCTCTCTCTCTCTCTCTCTCTTTCTCCCTCCTTCTCGCGAGTGTCGTTTAGTAGCGACTGGGTGCTTCACCTCGCAAGAAGACGACTCAGTTGGAAGCCGCAAAGAGAGACAGGAGAGAAAGAGGAGATAGTTCAACGGTGGACAGCCTCCGGGTATATAACGTCATCCTCGCTCGGTGCAGCGCTATAATAGCCCCGGTTCGTTGCGGAGCCACTCCGTGAGCGGAATTAAACGAGACCAGGTTCAACGGCTGGACAAACCGTGGCTTCCGGTCCCACCGCTCATCCTCTATCGCCCACCTACTTGATCGCGTATTATGAAAATTATGATTGTGCGAACCACGCGATTTTATCGATTGCCATAGAAAGTGAGGCGGCTTCCGATAACGCAATCGACGACAATCAAGCGTCCGGCAAAGCTGATCGCTTATAATCCAGCGACGATCTCACGTGGCTCGCAGGTGGATTATCAATTTTTTTTTGTAATTATTTAAAGCACCTCATATCTTAATATTTTTACATTTCGGTATCTCTCATAGAAAGCTTTAAGTAAAAATTCTGATGTAAAGTACTCAGATCCGGTTTCGTCGGCGCGCGTCTACGTTAATTGCCTCTTTCCACCTCATAACCGTGTGACTGTAACTTAGACAGAGAAGAAGGATTTAGTTATCCGCGATTAGCACCAGATACGAAAGTCGAACGAAACTGGCCGGCGAAACCGGACTGAGGAATGAAAAGAAAGTCATACGTGGGAACTGCGTGACAGTTCCGCAACGGGAGCATTAGAGTGTTCAGTTCCTCAAGTCATTCGTGTAAGATCTCTAAAGCGACGTCTATACACGACGAGAGATTTTAAGCCGTAAAAAATTGACCGATCACAATCAAGTATGAGGAGAATAATCGACTATTGGCTAATTTTTTTATAGTTTACGACTTAAGCTTAAAATTTTACGCTTTAAAATCTCATCGTAAATGCCGTTTTATGGGAAATTAAAGTAAAATTTAGATCTCTCGCGGAGCACAAGTTTGCGGTTATCGTAATATAATATTAGTTTCGGTACCGCTTTTTTGCAACACGACGAGACGCGACGCGACGCGACGCGCAACGCTTCGTCTCGACCGCTGTTACGTTCTAAATTACTTGACCGCGTCGGCTTGTCACTTGCGGCTACCCGCAACACCGTCGTCGTCGCGCCATTTCCACGTACATTTTAATGCTCGGCTATGCTAAACGTTGCGCTGCGAAATTGCCAGGTGTCTCTTCGAGAAACGAGAATGCCTGTCGCTCGGCCGCTAATTAATTAACGCGAATCGAAAACACGCTGTTCTCTCCCTCTGTCTGTTTACCCTCTTCTTCACGACAGTGGTCCCCCCCGTGGTTCAGGATAAACGGCACACGTTTACGGTTACCTACGTTAAATTGCGTCGCGGGAAGGAGGAGTCGTCGCCGATAATTAGAAAGTAATCGTACCGTGGCTTTTCGCGTGCTCGCTTGTCCGGACGGTCCCGGCAGAGAGAGAGACTATTATCTCGTAAATTGCCGGGTATGTTACACCATCCCGCGCCCCTGAGCCTCGCCTGTGCCCTCGCGACGACGTTGATTAATATCGACAAATTCCTCCACGCATTCGTATGATTATGCCCGTGGCGATATTCCACGGCTATGTTAGTTAACGCTCGTGACGTTACCTCCTGACGTGCGATGACGCGCTGAACATAGTATTACGGCGGAATAAAGATTGCGCGGCGTCGTGCTTATCAAAGGCGCGGCGTTTGATAATATTAAATATTTAATGCCGATCTAATATTCATCCGGTACATCGCGTTTCTCGCTCCTTGGCCTGAGCTTCTGGCACTCGTGCGCGAGTACACTACAACGAGCCGCGCTGTGATCATCTTCGAAATTGCTAGGCGTCCCTACTTCGTGCTGAGACGCAGACCGAGTGTGCTCGCTTGTTAGGATGCTTCGAGAAACACGATCGCCTCGATCCTGCTTTCAACAAAGACGTCGCGATACGGGTTTCGATGTTCGTGCACGAGTCACAGTAGACATAACCGACGTCTATCGCAGGGAATAAACGCAACTTAGAAACGCAGAGAGGGAAAAAGAAATTATATATTATTTTAATTAATGCGTACAAACGAAAAAGACGGTTTTGTTTGAAATATCTAAAAATTTAACTATAGATATAGTTTTGAAAATAAGTTTGTTGAATTATCAAAATAAAATTATGCAGAATATTAAAACTTCATAGCATTGCTTATATTTGACTATTTTTAACTAACTATTTTTATATGGTCAAACTAATCATTTTTTAATCTAATTAAATTTTTAAAAATCGTTTTTTTCTGTGAAATAAAAATTTCTAGAAAAGAACTCTTAAAATCTTCTTTATTATAGATCATGTCTTTTTATATTTTAGAAAATATATATAGAAAAAGTAAGTGTATTTAATAAACTAGTCTCAGCGTTGTAATTTTTGTCGAGTCCAACGTTAAACTAGTGGTTAGATTCAAAATAGGAAACATTTTTGGACATTAATTGAAAATATGTGGTATTTTCGATATTTATACGGGTACTGTGAAAATTTAATATCCTTATAACTATCTTCAAATAGGAAGTAGACCATTTTGAGTGCAGATATCTTTATAATTTTTTTATATCTTAGGTTTCGTATATTCCATACAAAAGAGCAGTATGGTTGGCGTGCTCGCTGCATTCGCGAGTTTTCATCCTCTTCTAACCAAAACCATGCATATTTATCGTATCCCCGGTTACATTGCATGCAAATTACAGACGACGTTCGGCTTCGCGGCCCGACTCTTCGTTATTCCGTTCCATTGTCTGCCTACATCCTCTCTTCCCGGATAAATGCCCCGTCCCGACGTGGCTCACGTGCGTCGCGCTTGTAGGCCCGTCCTGAGTCATCCGACGAATTTTTTCACCCATTTACCGTCTAAAACCATCTACGCATACTCAAGATGGTCGCGCGTTCAGAAGAGACAAGACGGGACAACGGCAGAATAAACGAGAGCTCGAAAAAGAATATTAGAAGGAGGCTGCATCGTCAGCCGCCTCATCTTGAAAGCTCTCACCTGGTACTCACGCCCACGTGACATGCATGAATGGTT